CCTTTCTCTCTGTCTCTCTCTCTCTCACTGTCCACTCTGCCTGTCAAAAAAAATTAAAAAAAAAAAAAAAAAGAAAGAAACTTAGGGGGCCGGTGCTGTGGCGTAACAGGTAAAGCCGCTGCCTGCAGTGCTGGCATCCCATATGGGAGACCCAGAAGAAGCTCCTGGCTCCTGGCTTTGGGTCAGCACAGCTCTGGCCATTGTGGCCAACTGGGGAGTGAATGAACCAATGGATGGAAGACCTCTCCCTCTCTCTGCTTCTCCTTCTCTCTGTGTGTAACTCTGACTTGCAAATAAATAAATAAATTCAGAAAAAAAGAAAGAAACTTAGAAGGTGGGTGGGGGTAACCAGGGACGGGCACTGGGGGTCTAGGTGGGAATGATCCCTGTCCTGCTTGATTCTGGTTTTCCATGCAGGTATCATGTTCTCAATGAAGCACTCCAAAGAGAGCTGGAGGGGTCTACCTTCTCTCTCTGAGGTTAATCACAATGGCTGTGCATCCGTGTGACACCAAGGTCACCTCATGGCAATCCCACCTGGTGTGTGGGCAGGCAGGGGACACAGCAGTGAGGTCTAGGGGCTGGAGGCCAGGGCCAACCCCATCCTCACAGCGTGTGGCCCTTTATTTATTTAACTGAGAGGCAGAGAGAGAAAGTTTCCGTCTGCTGGTTCACTTCCTAAATGCCTGCAACGACCAGGAATGGACCAGGCTGAAGCTGAGAACTCACCCACATGGTCACTTAAGCCTGCTACAGTTTGCATTAGCAGGAAGCTGGAGTCGGGAGCCAGAGCTGGACTCTAACCCAGGCACTCGATACGGGATGTGGGTATTTTAAGCAACAGCTTAACTGTAGGCCAAAAGCCCACCCCAGCATGGACATATTTCTTTTCTTTTTTTTTTTAAGATTTATTTATTTTTTTGAAAGAGTTACACACAGAGAGAGAGAGGAGAGGTCTTCCATCCGATGGTTCACACCCCAATTGGCCGCAATGAGCAGAGCTGTGCTGATCCAAAGCCAGAAGCCAGGAGCTTCCTCCGGGTCTCCCATGTGGGTGCAGGGGCCCAAGGACTTGGGCCATCTTCTACTGCTTTCCCAGGCCATAGCAGAGAGCTGGATCAGAAGTGGAGCATCGGGTCTCAAACTGGTGCCCATATGGGATGCTGGCACTGTAGGCGGTGGCTTTACCCATTACGCCAAAGCACCGGTCCCCAGCTGCTCTACTTCTAATCTTGCTCCCTACTAATGTGCCTGGGAAAGCAGTGGAAGATGGCCTGAGAGCTTAGGCCCCTGGAACCCATGTGGGAGACCTGGAAGAATTGCCGGGCTCCTGGCTTCTGCCTGGCACATCCCTGGTCCTTGTTGCTATTTGGGGAGTGAACCAGCAGACAGAAGACCTGTTTCTTTCTCTCTCTCTCTCTGAACTTTGACCTTCAAATAAATAAAAACAAATATTTTTTTAAAAAACCTGCTCAATCTAGACAATAAAATACAATCCAGGGGCTGGCGCTGTGGCTCAGTGGGTTAACTCCTTAGCCTGAAGTGCCAGCATCCCATATGGGTTCCGGTTCTAGTCCCAGCTGCTCCTCTTCCATCCAGCTCTTTGCTATGGCCCTGGAAAGCAGTGGAAGATGGCCCAAGTCCTTGGGCCCCTGCACCCACGTGGGAGACCTGGAAGAAACTCCTGGCTCCTGGCTTCAGATCAGCGCAATTTCGGCCGTTGTGGCCAATTGGGAAGTGAACCATCGGACGGAAGACCTCTCTCTCTCTCTCTGCCTCCCTCTCTGTAACTCTGACTTCCAAATTTAAAACAAAAACAAAAACAAAAACAAAAAACAAACTTAAAAAAATACAATCCAGTGGTCTGCCTTTCCCTTCTGAGCAAATATATAAAGCAGCATTTTCATGTCATCATTCCATCTACTGCCCACAATTTATTTCTAAATCTTCTCCCCAGGTAATCAGAAAAGTGACTAGAAGGGCTGGCGCTGTGGTGTAACATGTAAAGCCACCCCCTGCAGCGATGGCATCCCACATGGGCGCCAGTTCAAGTCCCAGCTGCGCCACTTCCTATCCAGCTCTCTGCTATGGTCTGGGAAAGCAGTAGAAGATAGCCCAAGTCCTTGGGCCCCTGCACCTGCGTGGGAGACCTGGAAGAAGCTCCTGGCTCCAGATCGGCCCAGCCCTAGCTGTTTCGGTCATTTGGGGAGTGAAGCAGCAGATGGAAGACCTCTCTCTTTTTCTCTCTCTGCCTCTGCCTCTCTGTAACTCTGCCTTTCAAATAAATAAATAAATATTAAAAAAAAAAAATAACACTATGATCACTTAAAGAAAACGTGAATAGAAGTGCCTTGGAACCAGAGGGAGCTGCTGTTTTGGTTTGAGTTCCTGTAAAGGAGACGGCGTCCACCACGAGATCCTCCAGGAAGGGGGTGAACCCCTCTCCCCCAGCACAGGGGTCTGGCTGCTCAGGAAAAGCTGAACTAAACTGACTGCAGCTGGGCCTAGATTTAGCTCGCTGGAGGGATGCGCAGCCTCCACAGAGCTCAGGCCCCAAGGACCAGGAGAGCGTGGTGAGGCCTGGAGTGACCCGAGCTCAGGCCCCAGAGAGAACGAGGGGCGCGCGGGGGGGAGGGTGCCAGCCGCCTGCTCCTCCTGCCGCTCACCTGCAGCACCTGCGAGTTGTCACCCTGCACAGCGTAGTGGAAGGCGGTTTCCCCCTTGTTGTCGGTGACGTCCATCTGGGCGTGGCAGTACTGCACCAGCTCCAGAAGAATCTCCCCGTCTCCCTTGCGGCAGGCCAGGTGCAGGGGAGTGCAGCCCTCCTCATTCTCCGTGCTGTTGGCACAGCTGCAGGAGGGGACCGGGGAGGAGAGAGGGCACAGAGGGCTGGGGTGCTGGGGACCCCGAGTAAGGAAGCAGGGAGCGGGCTCGGGAATGTGGGCGTTTCCGCTTGTGTGAGTACACTGCTCCAGCCAGCGGTGCACAGGCAGGGCTGTCACGGCCTATCTTCCTCTGATAGGATCTGCTTTGGTTTACCTGGCCCATCTGCAGAAGGTGCCTGGGGCCACACCAGCACAAGGCGGGTGGCGGGTGGCATGGAAAAGGATTCCACGCGGCAGGGGTCTCCCTGAGCTCGGGCAGTTCCCTCGGCCTCCTGGGCCTCAGGTTCCTCATCTACTGCACCTGCTGTGCCTGCCCTAGGAGAGGGACACAGCTCTTGTGGGATGGGACACCTCGTCTTCCAGGAGCGTGCCTGTGGACCGTGAGAACACAGAGCGCCTGGGAGCAGGCCTGAGCCTTCCGCAGTGGGAAACCAGAGGGGCAATGGCTGCTCCCAGGCAAGGGGGCTGCTGGCATCCTGAGCAGGGATGGCATCGTGTCCTCGGCAGGGGCGTCTGCTGACGCATCTGTTGGCTGAACGGACGGACACGAGTGGGCATTCCAGCTTCCAGGAGGGCAGCCAGGCGTTTGGAGGGAGACACACAGCCTCTGAGCCCCTCTCCAGCCCTCTGCAGCTGAGAGACCCCCGCATGGGGCCCACGACCTCTCTTTGGGATAAGCACACGTCAGCTCCCCAGAGTCTGGCACCTGGTGAACACTCCGGAATGTGCCATTTCTCCTTCTGTCTTTCATCAAGTTCCTCTGCCCTAATGCAGGAGCAACGCTGCTCCTTTTTCTGTCAAAACTACAGAAGGGTGCTCAGGCAGAACCCGGAGATTTCCCAAGGGCCCCACCCCCAGTCCACACGGCCCTGCCCACTCACCTGATGATGCGGCTGTGGTGGAAGCACTCACGGATCCCCAGCTCCACGGCCAGGTGCGCCACCGACCAGCTGGGGTGGTTGCGGATGAGGTCGGACAGGTGCTGCAGGACCTCAACGTGCAGGACCTGGACGGAGCTCTCGTAGAAGGGCGGCAGCTGGGAGGCATACTGCTGGAAGTTCACCAGGGCGTCGGCCTCCAGCTCCAGCTGGAAGAGCCTGCGCAGCCAGGATGGGGAAGAGAACACAGAGGGGAGTGGGGCGGGGCCCTCAGCCCACATCTCTGCTGGGCGCCCCAAACCGCCTGTCCCGGCTGCAACCTGACCTGTGCCAGCCAGACTCCCCTCCCCTAGCAACACACACACACACACACATACACACACACCTAAAGGGAGTGCAGTTTGGGCTTCTTTATTTAAAATAAATAAATATATATATATATTTAATGGCAGAGGGACAGAGAGAGAGGGAGAGACAGAGTTAGAGAGAGAGGTCTTCCATTTATTGGTTCACTCCCCAAATGGCCACAATAGCCAGGGCTGGGTCAGGCTGAAGCCAGGGGCCTGGAGCTCCATCTGGGTCTCCTACATGGGTGGCAGGGCCCCAGGTTCTTGGGTCACCTTCTGTGGTCTTCCAAGCTATGTTAGCAGGAGCTGGATCTGAAGCAGAGTGGCTGGGACTTAAACCAGGCTCCAATAGGGGATGCTGTTGTCACAAGTGGCAGTTTAACCCACTGCGCCACAGCAAAGCCCCTGGACTTTTTTTTTTCTTTTAAAGATTTATTTTATTTATTTGAAAGGCAGAGCTACGGAGAAGCAGAGGCAGAGAGAGAGAAGTCTTCCATCTGTTGGTTCACTCTGCAGATGGCCACAACGGCTGGAGCTGGCCTGATCCAGAGCCAGGAGCCCCCTCCGGGTCTCCCACGCAGGTGCAAGGGCCCAAGGACCCAGGTCATCCTTCACTGCCCTACCAAGCCATAGCAGAGAGCTGGATCAGAAGTGAAGAAGCTGGGACCCGAACTGGCATGCACATGGGATTTCGGCATTGCAGGTGGCCCCACCCGCCACACCACAGCACCAGCCCCTGGACTTCTTTTTATTTGAAAAGACTTCCCTCCCTTCCCTCCTTGCTTTCAGTACATCATATAATACTTTTAAATTTTATTTGACCAAAGGCTTGTCATGTCCACTTTCTAACTTGATTTTCACACCCGAGGGCCCTCCTTGCACCCAGGAGAAACTAAGTAAGAGGGGGCCAGAGCTGTGGTGCAGCAGCAGGTTAAGCCGACATCTGCGACGTCCATATCCTATACTAGCCATATGGGAGACCTGAATCAGAGCCCCTGGCTCCTGGCATCAGCCTGGCCCAGCCCCAGCTGTTGCGGCTATTAGGGGAGTGAACCAGCAGATATAAGATCTCGCTATATCTCCTTTGCACTATGTCAGTCTACCTTTCAAATAAATAAAATAAATCTTAAAAAGGAAAAAGAAACTCAGTTTTGTTTAGCATAAATGCCCAGCAAGAGGATACAGATAAACTGTGGCACGCCTATGTGATGGGACACTTTGCAGCCACTGAAATGAAATATTAAAAGAACAGGGAAATGTTTGTTTTGTAATGTTAAATTTAGGGGTAGGCATTTGGCTCAGCAGTTAAGTCGCCACTCGGGACACCCACATCCTATATCAGAGTGCTTCCGATCCACTTCCTGCTAATGCACACCCTGGGAGGTCCAGCTGATGGCTCAAGCGCTTGGTCCCTGTCCCTCACACAGAACTCCAGACTGAATTCCTCTGCCTTGCAGATAAGATCAAAGTGAAAGTATAAAAATAAATAAAGCAAGTGCCTTTCTAATTACAAGAAGCAGGATACAAATTACATAAAATGTGATCTCAATTGTAAAAGAAAAAGACTAGAAGGAATGCGTCCAGTTGTGTATGGTAGCGTAATAAATAAAGTTCTTTTTTATCCATTTCTATAGCTTCTGCATTTTCTATAATGAACAGGAAAAAAAAAGTCTTGTTCATTTTAGAGTTAGATTTGGGTCCGCCCTCTGCTACTGAGTTGCTTTCTGACCTGGGGAAACACAGTCCCTCTCTGAGCCCCACCTGAAACAGGAGAGCAATGGCACCTGTCCCGCCTACCTCAAGGGGTGCTGTGCCGTGGGTGGGGCCGCAACGCAGGGCACTTAAAAACCGTGAAGCTACGCGTCCACGTCCCTGACTGCCAGCAGGGGCCTGGGGGAGTGCACTCACGGGCAGCAAGGCCAGCACGTCTTCCCCGAGGGCCATGGCTTAACAAGCATCTGCGTGGGTGTGAGCTGCGTCCCACATGGCTCTAAAGGGAGGGGGCAATGAGGGAGCACCCTGCAGCAAGTGCCCCGCCCTCCGGAGCCACAAAAGGAACAGGCTGAGAAACAAGTAAAGAGGGTATTACCCAGGCCTCAGGCTCTGTGAGCCTCTTGAAGTTGTGGGTCCGTGTGCGATGTGCGTGTTGGGGAGGAGAGGGACACAGGGGCCCTCCGGGACCCTTCAGATCCGAAGCCCGGCCCACCCTGTCCCTGGCCACAGGCTCTCCAGAGTGCCGCTGCTCTGCTCTGCCCCGCCCTGCCCTTGCCCGCGATGCCCCTCTCTCTGAGGGGCCCTCTCTCTCACGCCTTCCCCTGGCAACGGAATCTGGGCCCTTGAAGGCCCACCTGCACCCCACCACCCCAGTGAGGCCTCCTCCACTCCCTCCTGTCAGACGCACTTGACCTTCAGTGATCACAGAACGCACTCATCCAGTCAACAAATATTTGCCGTGCACCTGTTGTGTGCCTGGCGCCACACCAGGCACCAGGGACACAGAAGGGACTCGGCTGGGCCCTGCCCCTCAACAGGAAAGCAGATGTGTACAGAGACACCTGGTGACGTCAGACACCCGGCCAAACTGAGGGAGCAAGGGGGAGTGAGGACAGGCTCACGGGGCAGGGAGCCACGAGTATGGGAAGGATACTCTTGGTGGAGGGAAAGGCAAAGGCAGAGAAATTCACGTACAGGGGTGAAGTGGTTCAGGGAACTGAGGGTCTCACAGGGTCCCAGTGTAGTATTTCTCACCGGGCGCAGGCAGACAGCCCCTCTGCTGACTGCCGCCTGAGTCCCTTGATGGCAGAGCCAGGCCATCTCAGCTCTGCTCAGTGACCACGGGCTGTGGGCTAATGAAGGGACCGAGCAGTGGACTTGAGGTGCATGGCTAGGATACCACATGCTCGTCTGAGGTCTCCCAACCAGCAGCTCTATGGGACAGGCACCGGCCAGAGGCCCCCAGGTCCGCCCGCCTAGAGGGGCGAAGGTCAGCACTCTGATCACCCTGTGCAGAGCCCCAGGAAGTACAGCCCTGTTTTCTGCTGAGATACCGGCGAGAGGCTGGCCGGGCGCATCGGGGAGCATCTGTCACGGTGAATGCCGGCAGTAAATGATTAATTTGTTCCAGGAACCGAAGTATGGGTGCTATCCTAACAGCAATGTGACGGCCGTCTCCCAGGAGCGCAGAGCACAAGAGCCGGGGGTGGACATACGTCAGGCCGGGGCGCCCGGCTGGCCAACCTGCGAGGCGGCCCTGGGCTGCAATGAGGAAGAGGACAGGCTCTGCAGCCAGCAGTGGGGCTTGAACAGCTCTGCTACTGACCCACTGTGTGGCCTTGGGCAAGGGACTAGACTTCTGCAAGGCTGTGTCAGCCGTCAGAGGGGCCAGCAGGAGCCCTGACCTCCTGGGACTGCCCTGAGGACAGAGCTGCTGCTGAGCTGGTGTGCAGACGACAGGGCGCACTAGGACCGCAGGTTCTGTGGGTGCCGCCCCGTCCCAGCCAGGGTGCCCCATCCACGGCCTAGAGCAGAAAGCCCGAGACTGCAGTAGATCCTGACAACGCGCCTGACGTGGCCAGCACACAAGAACCACGGCAATACCTCCACCAGGCACCACGGCCAACACAGCACCCTGACGTGGACTCAAAATACTCGAGGGACGGCCCTAAGGCTCGCCAGGGAAATGCAGGAGGAGGAGGAAGAGGAGCAGAAGGAGAAGGGGGCATTTCAAAGGGAGCGCCTGGTCCCTGAGGAGGACGTCTGGCAGTCGAAGCCTCCTCCCTGCAAATGGCAAGGGCTGGGGCTGTGCCACACAGCCAGAACAAGCACCTCAGGGCTCTGGCGCAGTGCCCAGCACCTACTTGGCAGCCTTGTCCTTGCCCCGTGGCGGCCCTCACTCCAAATAAAATGAAAATAATTTTAAAAATTCTTTAAGTGAGGCAGGCAACAAAAGGGGACGTTTTCTAGGCCAAGATGAGTGCTCAGGCAAAGCCGGGAGCACGAGGCAGCAAGAGCTGTCACACGGTGCCCTTTCCCGCTAGGTTAAGCACCTGATGTCAAGGAAACAGGAAGCCCTAGAAGCATTAAGCAGGGGAATGACGTCACTCGCCCTCAGGAAAGATCCCTGTGACGGCAGTGTGATGGGGGGAGAGGCAGGCAGGCTGCAAGGCCAGGCGGCAGGAACCCGTGCACACAATGACTGTGGCCTGGGAAGACTGGCGGGGAGATGGGAAGCAACAGAACCTCCGGTGCGGAATGGCATGTGGCTGGCTGGACACAGGCCACCCTTCCCAGCCGCCCTTTCAGTGAGCTGTGACCGGGAGACTAAGTTCTGGCCAGTGAGAGGCACGCGGAAGGCACGTGTACAACTTCTGAGAACTGTCTCTAAAGAGAGAATGTCTTGCCGCCTGCCCGCTGGCTGGAAATGTGGATTACAACGCTGGGTCTGGCACAGCCACCTCGGACCTGCTGGTCTAGGGAATGCAGGCCACGCACAACAAGACAGAAGGAGCTTGGGTCCCTGAGGCCTTTTAGGAGCAGAGCTGCCACCCCAGCCCTCAACTGCCATGGCTGCCGCTAGGGGAAAACGGCACATGTATCCCTGAAGCTGGGTCCCGGTGTCGTCCCTGGAGGAGAGCAGCAAACTCCACAGAGGCCCTGTGGTGCAGTGGGGTGGCGGGAGGGACAGAGGAGCCACCGGACAGATAGGCTGTTTGTGGGGTGGACACGTGAGGGCGGGAGCCGGGTAGAGAGGAGATGAAGAGCTCAAGCCAGCTCAGGGGCACCAGCGATTCCTGAGGGATCCCGAGCTCGGTCTGAGACCCAGTGCTCCGCCTTCCTTCTCGACACACGGAATCCCCCCAGCGGCACAAGGGAGGAATGGACTGGGAACCGGAAGACATAAGCTCCGCTTCTCCGCTGCTTCCTGGGCAACCTACGACCCATCACTTACCATCCCAGGCCTCTGCTTTCCCATTCAGATGGGAGGTGGCACACGTCCATCAGAGGGCCTGTGGACGGGTGCTGACGCAACATCTTGTGAACTAAAAGATACTGCCCAATTCAAAGGGGAACAGTCACGTGTGGCCGACAAACTGCTGGCCCGCAATCTGAGGCCCCGGGACAGAGGTCTGCCCACAGGGGCCCAGGCCTATGGGGACGAGTCTGGAACCCTGGCAAGAAACATTCCAGCTCACAAGACTGGGCGGTTACTTGCACTGGCAGGAGGTGGAATCTGCACAGGGCAGGACATGTCAACAGTATCGCAGAGTGGCCCCCTGGACCCACTGCCCTGGCCACTATGCCTCCCCACTGCCCTCAGCTGCAGGTGCAAGACCACCCTGGCCAGGGCCAGCACAGGCCGAGGCCAGGGGAGGGCAGTGGGCTGAGGCCATCTGCACTCAGGTTTGGTCGGACCCCGCTGTGATGTGACTGGCACCTGGATTGGTCTCTGGTGCCCAAGGTGGGCTCCTCCGTCTCAACTTCCTGGTGGAGCCACGCTCTGAATTCTCACCTGCTGTTCCTCTCCCGTGGCTGGCCTCTGACCTTCAGTTTGCACTTGCTCAGACACCTGCCGCCACACCTCCCCGACCAGAACGACGCCCAGCCGCCGCCCCCTCCCTCTCCTGCAGGCTCACTCGCCACGGCTCTGCGTGTCTGGGCTGATCTCAGCCACTTTGCTCTGCTGGACAGATGCCCCCCACCCCATTCTTTCAGACGCACTTGGCCAATTCCCCCAGGAAGTGTCCCCACTGTTCCCTGGGCTCTGCCTCCTCCCAGGCTTGCATGTGGCCTCCCCGACAAGCTCCTTAAAGACACAGACCACATCTGTCATTTCGGAGAGCCAGCTGGGCCTGGCCGCAGGCCTGCAGAGAGTGGAGGCGCTCAGGCACGACAGGACAGCCGGACGATGAACGGATGGGAAAGTGGACAGGACAGCCAGACGATGAACGAACAGGAAAGCAGAGATGAGCACAAGCCCTGCACGACGTGAAACCCACCAGATCCTGCCTGCAGCCCCTGGGCTACTCCTCTGCCCTCCACCCCGGGAGCTTGTAGCCGGCCCACTTCCCTTGGCTCTGTACTGGCTCCTTGCCTTTCCCTTCTAGCTCACAGGAGCCCCGGCAAACCCCAAGAAGCCACAGCTCGGTCCAGCCCTGAACAAACCCTGGATAGCCGTGCTTTGAAAGCCAGGGCTGAAGGCTACTCCTGTGGGCCTCACCTGATGGAGCCCTTGTCAGCTTCTGCCTCCAGGCAGCAAACAAGCCAGGCTTCCACTCCCACGCCCCTGCTGCTGGCACCCTGATGGGCCAGCGGGTGTGAGGACTAGGAAGCCCCTCCCTCCACCCTGAAGATCAGTCTCCCCTCCCTCCTGGCCCTCCCCAGACCCCTCAGGTGGAGACCTCAAAAGCTGTCTCCTCTTCTCCAAGGCACCTCTGGCCCGAGGCCTAGGGGGAGTGAAGGGAGAGCAGTGCCGGTGGCAGCTGCCGTCACCCACCGGAATGCACTCTGTGAGTTCCTGGGGTTGACCAGGATGCAGTCCCAGGTGCGGTTGGGCGAGTTCCGGAACAGGATCAGCTGCCCTTCTTCCCGGACACGCTCGCTCGCGGCGTAGTCGGCCACAGCCACCTCCTTCACCCGGAACGGGTTAGAGAACAAGTTGGAGACGCTGCTGAGGGTGTTGACCAGACGGCCGAAGAACTGCATCTTCTGTGGGGCGGGAGGGGCGGCCCCACTGCCTTCCCCCTCGGTCTGGAAGAAAACGGGGTCTCTGGTCAGCTGGGCTCTGTCGCCCATGCCCACCTCACTGACCACAGCGGTTTCCTGCACAGGCACCCAAGTCAGTGCCCACCAGTGCCGGCGCCCGACTCTGGGCCTGCAGGGACCTGGGAAGGAGAGAGAGAGAAGCGGTGCTGAGTAGGGGGCATGGCCCTCAGTCAGGTGGGACTGAGGAGGCGGCCACTGTCACAGGTGGCCTGCCCCAGGGTCCCCAGCCCTGTGTCAGGGAGGTGTACTGATGGAAGCAGACAGCAGGGGTGAGGCTCCTTAGGGACAGTAACGTCCTGGGGAAACGGGCGCTCGCACCGCGCAAGTTACAGAGAACTTTGGGGCACTCCGAGAGCCCGTGTGAGTCATTTCAAGTCCACGAGCAAGTCAGTGGCCCCTCTCCAGGTGTGAGACAGCAGAACGAGAACAGGATCATGAGATACTCGGGGTGGGGGGGGGGGTCAGTAAGCATTTGTCTAAACCCTATGCTTCCTGCTACTGCTGGTTTCCCAGAGCGCAGGGAGAGAGAGACAGGGAGAGAGACCCCAAGCCTGCTCCCCAGCAAGGGAGGTCAATGGCAGGGCTCTGCAACAGCGAGCAGTAACGCTTCGTTTCAGCACAGAGCTTCCTTCCGTTATGAAAATGGACTCTGGAGGGGCCGGCGCCGCGGCTCACTTGGTTAATCCTCCGCCTGCAGCACCAACATCCCATACGGGCGCCAGATTCTGTCATGGTTGCTCCTCTTCCAGTCCAGCTCTCTGCTGTGGCCCAGGAGGGCAGTGGAGGATGGCCCAAGTGCTTGGGCCCCTGCACCCACATGGGAGACCGGGAGGAGGCACCTGGCTCCTGGCTTCAAATCGGCATAGCTCCAGCTCTAGTGGCCATCTGGGGGGTGAACCAACAGAAGGAAGACCTTTCTCTCTGTCTCTCTCCCTCACTGTCTAACTCTGTCAAATTAAAAAAAAAAAAAAGAAGAAGAAGAAAAGAAAATGGACTCTGGTGTGGATGACAAAATTAGATCTTATTTCCTAGGCTCCCAGGAAACACAATGCCTTCCAAAGGCACAGCCACCAAAGTCGGGTGACAGTCACAGGCCACCCTATGCCGCCACGACAGGAAGTCACCTGCTAAACAGGCACACCAAGGGGGCGGGCACTGTGGCTAAGCCACTGCCTACAGTGCTGGCATCCCATGTAGGCATCAGCTTGAGCCCCAGCTGCTCCACTTCTGACTCAGCTCCCTACTAATGTGACTGGGGAAGCAGCAGAAGATGGCCACGTGGGAGACCTGGAAGAAGCTCCCGGCTCCTGGCTTTGGTCTGGCCCAGCCCTGGCCATTGTGACGGACTAGGGAGTGAACCAGCGGATGGATGATCTCTCTCTAAGTCTGCTTTTCAAATAAATAAATAAATCTTTAAAAATAAATAAAGAAGCAAACCAAACCAGGAGGTTTACAGAGTCCTCTGAAAGGGATAAAGGGGGCCGGCGCTGTGGCGTAGCGGGTAAAGCCAGCACCTGCAGTGCCAGCATGCCATATGGGCACTGGTTCGAGACCTGGCTGCTCCACTTCTGATCCAGCTCTCTGCTCTGGCCTGGGAAAGCAGTGTTGGAGGGCCCAAGACCTTGGGCCCCTGCACCTGTGTGGAAGACCCGGAGAAAGCTCCTGGCTCCTGACTTCGGATCAGCGCAGCTCCAGCCGTTGCGGCCAATTGGGAGATGAACCAGCAGATGGAGGACCTCTCTCTCTCTCTCTCTCTGCCTCTCCTTCTCTAACTCTGACTTTCAAATAAATAAACAAAATCTTCTTAAAAAAAAAAAAAAGATGCCAGTGCCGCGCTCACTTGCTAATCCTCCACCCGCGGTGCTCCACCCGCGGTGCTGGCACCCCGGGGTCCTAGTCCCGGTTGGGGCGCCGGATTCTATCCTGGCTGCTCCTCTTCTAGTCCAGATCTCTGCTGTGGCCTGGGAGGGCAGTGGAGGATGGCCCAAGTGCTTGGGCCCTGCACCCACATGGGAGATCAGGAGGAAGTACCTGGCTCCCGGCTTCAGATCGGCGCAGTGCCAGCCATAGCGGCCATTTCGGGGGTGAACCAACAGAAGGAAGACCTTTCTAATAAAAAAAAAAAAGAAAGAAAGGGAATAAGGATCAGTTATAATATAGGGGGCCAGTGCTGTGGCATAGCAGGTAAAGCCGCTGCCTGCAGTGCTGGCATCCCATATGGGTGTCAGTTTGAGTCCTGGCTGCTCCACTCTCTGCTATGGCCTGGGAAAGCAGTAGTAGATGGCCCAAGTGCTTGGGCCTCTGCACCTGCATGGGAGACCTAGAAGCAGCTCCTGGTTCCTGGCTTCAGATTGGCCCGGCTCTGGCCGTTGCAGCCATTTGGGGGATACACCAATGGACAGAAGACATCTCTCTCTCTCTCTCTCTCTCTCTGCCTCTCTGTAACTTTGCCTTTCAAATAAAAAAAGTTATATACGGAGATCAGCACTTCCTGATCCTGAGCACTGCTGTCCCGCAGGCCTGAGCTCATCATGTTACAGGACTGTCTTCTGCCTCTCGCAAAGCCACGTGCGGCAGGTGCACCAAGTCGTATGCAGTGCGGCTCTGGAGCTGGGCTGTGCTCAGACCTGAGCCCCACCACTTACCAGCTGTGTGGCCTCGGCCTGTGTCTGTTTCCTCCGCTGTAACTGGGCGACTGCTAACAGTGGCAAGCAGTGGCTCCCAGCAGGTGGTGCCTGCTCCCTGTCCTGGGGTCACCCCCTCACAGAGCAGGACACGGGGCTTAGAGCACCACGGCCACAGAGCTCTGAACGTGTCCTGACGCTGCGCACGGTCCTGCCCTGGGCATTCGTAAGACGCGACGTGAGCAGGCTGAGCCTGTTTCCACCTTTAAGTGGGGACAGCGCTCCCCTCTCACATGTGGGGAGGACGCTCAGACCTGTGGCCCAGGTTCCTGCCTTACCCCTCCCAACATACGGGGGATGGGGAGGGGCCCCAGAAAAAGAGCCCCTGTCACAGTGCAGAAGCCGACGCGACTCATCTCCCGTGGGGCAGGTCATCGCACGTGTGGTCACCCAAGGCGGTGACGGCGGAAGCTACAGGTGTAAGCTCTCGGCGTGCTGGTGCTGGCGCAAGGCTCTGGGCCGTGGGGACCGCGGTGCTGCAAGACGGCCTGCAAAGCCCCTGCCTCCCTGCACAGCTTCCCTCCCCTTAGCCCCTTCCAGCCCAGCCCTGGAGCCCCCAGCCTGCGCACCAGGAACTACCATGGCACAGATCCAGAGCCACGCTGCCCGGCCCCTCAGCGCCTGTCTCCGCTCCTGTCTCCACTGCACCGTCTGGAATGCCCCTCGCCCTTCTCTGCGTTTCTGTCTTGAAAACCCCGATCCTTTGTCCCGCCCATGCTCAGCTCTCACGTCCTCCTTACAGTGCTCCGGGGGCACCAATCCCAGCTCCGGGTCACCTGTCACATGCCGCCCTTCTCACTACTGTGCCCCCGTGGTTGGAACTGCCCCTTGTGCCCGCCGGCACCTCCACGACAAGGACCACCCCGAACACGCCTGCGCCCCGGACACCGCCCTGAGGGCCTTGACGTGCTCACCCTTCGTCCACACGACTGCCCTGGGAAACGGCCCTCGTTCCACATGTGAGAAAGCCACAGCACAGAGAAGTCAGGTGCCACGCTCAAGGTCACACAGCAGTACAGGCTGAGGACCACGGCTTGCAGCCCCTGAGCCGGCTCCGCTCTGCATGCTAACCCCATCGAGAAGCTTGGCTCACTGAAAGCCTCATCCTTCAGCATGGACGGAGGAAACGTTACACACGGGGTTACACACAAGGGCCAGACCGTGTGTGAATGGTTATGGCTCCCAAAGAGAGCAGGAGTACAGACTGAGCCCTGGCGTCTGCAGGCAGGAAGATGGGGGCCCCAGGCTCGGGTCTGGCGTGGAACAGTGGTAGGGAGGTCTCCCACAGGTATCTGGGGTGAGGCGTGGAGGAGAGCAATCGAGAGAACCCAGGACCCACGAGCCTGCTCAGGCTAAGGGAGGAGGAAGGTCAGGGGCCGGCACTGTGTAGGTTGAGCCTCCGACTGCAACACCAGCATCCTTATGGGTACAGGTTCGAGTCCCCGCTGCTCCACTTCCAATCCAGCTCTCTGCTATGGCCTGGGAAAGCAGCAGAAAATGGTCCAAGTGCTTGGGCCCCTGCACCCACGTGGGAGACCCAGAGGAAGCTCCTGGCTCTTGGCTTTCTGATCAGTCCAGCTCTGGCCATTGCAGCCATATGGGGAGTGAACCAGCAAATGGAAGACTTCTCTGTCTCTCCTTCTGTCTGTAACTCTGCCTCTCAAATTACTAAAGCTAAATCTTAAAAAAAAAAAAAAAAAAAAAGGTGGTGGGGGAAGGGAGGTCACCACGGGGGTCCCACTGTGTCAGGGCCTGGCCCAGAGCGGGGCCCCTCCGAGTGCCCCAGCCTCTGCCCCCAGCACAGGGGCTGGCGGAGGTGCCTCCCACACACTTACAGCAGTGTGGCCGTGGGAAGGACAGCCTGGCTGTAGGCCAACCTTCCAGGGCTGGCATGAGGGTGAAACGACACAACAGAGGGAGGGTGGCCAGGGTGTTGGCCCGTGTGGGCGCACCAACAGTGGCTACTGGGTGGAAGAAAGGACACGTGCACGCTGGGCCTCATCCTGGAACAACCACAGCGCTGCCAACCGGGAGGGGGCGAGTGGGGCCACAGCTCGGGCTCCTGCTTCCCTCTCCCAGCCCCCCGAGCCCAGAGCCCCGTGCTTCCCACACAGCTACAGGGGGCGGCCACGGCACTGAGGAAGGAGGCACCTCTGGGGCCCCTTCCAACCCCCCCGTGTCTCCTCTAGCTCCCCCAGCCGCCTACGTCGGACCTGCCCACGTGTAAACACCTGCTTTTAGAGCTCTCCCGTCCTGCTCCTCACTGGCCTTGCGAGGGGCCCAGCGGTGACACCAGGTCGTCTGAACAGACCAGCACTCCCGGGCACACCGGCCGTGTAGCAGAAAGACTCAAACGCAAGCACGGCTTTCCGCGGCGAAGGTGACGAGGACAACCTCAGTTTCCAGGCACCAGGTGAGGCCAGGCGTTTCTGCTCTCTCTCCCTAGCCCTGCTCCCCTGTGCCCTGCCGAAGGCCAGGCCTCCCTGCTTGTCTCCCTCACGGGGGATGTGCAGAGCGTCTGCTGGGTAGGGGGTGCTGGAGCGGCGATCAGGCAGGGAGAACGGGGACCCCTGCCCCCACTGCAGAGATAAAGAAACCGACGGTGTTCAAAGAGCAAACCCAAGTGGGACGTGCTGGGGCAGACGTCTGGCACAGAGATTTTGAAGACATCACCTGGGACGCCCACATCCCGTCCCGGAGGGCCTGGGGTCGGGTCCCGGCTCTGCTTCCAATTCCCGCTTCCTGCTGATGCGCACCCTGGGAAGCAGCGGTGAGGCTCAGGTGGGTCCCTGTCACCCACGTGGGCTCTGCCTTCCGCCTGGCCGGCCCTAGTTGTTGTAGGCATTTGGGGAGTGAACAGTGGATGGAAGATCTCTCCTCTCTCTCATAAATGGAACATAACTTGTTAGAACTAGATAAAAAAAAAAGTGGGGCCTGCTGTCCACCAAAATAAAAACCAGCCCCTGACTGAAATCAGGGACTGCAACAGGCAGGCCAGGGCTCTGCGGAGCTCCCTGGAAGAGGCCGCCTGGGTTCAGAAAATGAGCCGTCAGGGCAGGGAGCCAAGCCCAGCGGTTGTGCCTGTCCCCTGGGGGAAGCACGGCTGTGGGAGAGGACGCCTGAGCTGAGCTCTGAAGAGAAAACAGGAGTCTGCAGAGAGGGGGAGGGGAGGCCTTCCCAGCGGAGGCAGGACTGTGAACACTCGCAGCTGGGACGGCAGTGGAGAGGGGAAGGTGCTGACCCAGGGGGGGCCGCGGTTACCGCTGTGGTCAGGACGAGCGCCCGAGCCCTGTGTCCTGCAGCTGCTGCCTCGGCCAGGCCCACAGCCGCCAGGCATCAGCGTCTCTGCCTCCATCTTACGGACAGCAGCGCAGCGAGGGAGCGCTCCGTCCCAAAGATCTGGCTCCTCCTGGGCAGGTCTCCAGTGAGGGGCTGTCTCTGCCCTGTGCCAAGGCCACCGGCCAGGCCGTCCCCTCTCCCCTGCTTTGGATGGTTCGGCACGAGAGCAGTGCTTCTGTGCCTGTGTGACCCGGAGAGCCTCTGCTGGTCCACCGAGGCCCGTCAGAAACTAGACCCGCCCCTCCAGCGATCCTCCCTGCACCAGGAGGGTGGGTCCTCGCCCTGCCCGTCCCTACAGCCCCACCTGTGTGACTGCCACAGGTCCCAGGTCAGCGCCTCGCTGCTGACCCCGGCCAAGGGGGCATCCCCGCCCACCCCTGCAGCCACAGTGCACCTCTGCTGCCTCCCAGCCTGGCCAGGCTGGAGCCCCATCAGCCCTGGCTGCGCCTGGGCCCCAACCATCCTCCCCGCGTTCTTAACCCATCCCTCCGGGTGTGCTTGCCATAAAGCAGGTCTGGACAAGTGAACAAACCCTTTCTTATCTGTCAAGACAGTTCAGGAGCCCCTCCACCCAGATTCACCCCGGCCCCCAGCCTTGGTGTGTGGACTCGTCTCCACAGTGCCCCATATACCACACACACCCCATGGGATAACAATGCTGCATCTAGGGGCTCAGGGCTCCCCCCCACCCCCTTCCATTTGTTTCTGCCAGCACCTGGCATCTCTTCCCCACTCAAACATCAATAAATCTTTGGTGATTGAATGAGGGAAAACAAATGAATGAACCAACTGTAAGGACACGGGCCTGCCACCTCTGAGGTGGCCCCCATCTCCACACAGACCCATTCATTCTGACTGGCGGTAATGGAGACCAGGGAGCCCCATGGTGGGCTGCCAGGCACCCCTCCTCCACTGCAGCCAGTGGCTGTCATGAGCTCACCCTGGGCCAGGGATGCTTTCTCCAGCATCTGCTGGGCTCTGCGGGTGTGGTCCCTGGTCCAGGGACCAATCCTTCCCCCAGACTCCAGTCTGCAAAGTTCCACCTAACGTGCTGACAGGACACTTATGGCCCAGCTCGCTCCCACTCCAAGTCCCTGCGCTTCCTTCTCAACTGGGCCAAGGCCAGGGGAGCAGGACAGCTGCTGGGGGCGGGGTGGGTGTGTGTGTATGGCCAAGCCCCACAGGCCACGGGCCAGGAAGCAGACCTCACAGGACCGGCCACGTGGGGGGCTCTCGGAGCACCTGCAGAACTGCCTGCGGTGGAAATCGGGCCTCACGGGCCTCGGGCGCTTCCCACAGGACGTCCCGTGACTGGAACAATCACTGGGCACTCCCGGCAGCAGGACAGCGGCACTGCCCTGAGCGTGGGATGTGCCTGCCACACCGTCCTGCGTGACAGGGTCTGATCGGAGCACCCAGCCTGCTGTCGCCCCCACCTTCCTGCCTGCGGTGGCCCTGTCCACACCAGCACGTGACCATGTCACGCTGGCCAGCACCCTCTCCCAGCCACCTCCCTTATGGCCAGCGACGGGTTCTAGGTCAGCAGCCTCTGAGCTCATAAAGAAACGGGAAAGGGGTGATCATTATCCTTGTTTGGCACATGGGGAAACTGAGGCCCAGACAAAGGAAATGCTGGGGGCTGGGGTCTTACAGGAGGGCAGGAGCGGGACTCACACATTCCTCATGTAACTCCTAAACAGCGCTACGCAAGGGGCCTGCACACGCGTGTGGTGAACTAGTGTGCAAGGAAGGACTGCGGAGGGTGAAGGCAAGTCAGACGTCACACAGCGGAGTCTCGGGCCACAAGGCTGCCTCCCTGCAGGATGACCTTCCAAAGTTCACTCCGACCCCAGCTCCTGCCACACTCTGCCTGGAGCGGATGGGGAATGGGATGGTTTGCGCCCACAGGCTGTCCCCGACACCCACTGAGGGCCAGCTGCCTTCACAAGTGTTTATGGCAGGTTTCATTTAACCCTCAAAACAGCCACAAGCAAAGGTATCATTCTCTCCCCATCACACACCAGAAGCTCCGTGTTACACACAAGGGGGTCACCTACCTCGCCGGGGAACCACCCCGGCAAGCAGGGATCCAGAGCACCAGCTCTCAACTCCCCTGAAGGCCAACGGCTGGGCCAGACCTGCGGTCTCTGTACTCCAGAGCCAAGGCCCGCTCCTGGAAACGCACTGCTATCCCCTGGCTCCTAAAAGGGACAAGCGTCCCTGACACCAGCTCTGCGAGGCCAGACCATGGCTGGAGGCGAACCGCGGCTGCGGCTCCAGAGACACGAACCGTGGGTGACCTCCAAAGACCTCTGGGCATGGTGGCCCATTTCTGACCCGGTCCATGATGTTAATCAGGACCTGAAGCGGCAGGCATTGTTCTAGGCCAAGGACACAACAGTGAACGAAACAGACAAAACCCCTGTGCCCGGGAACCTGCATTTCAGAGCTACAAACGACAAAGAAGATAAAGGGAGCGGGCACCGTGGCACAGCAGTTCAGTCACTGCTTGGGATACCATCACCAAGCAGCAGGCGCAAGTCCCGGCTCCTCCACTTCTGAGCCAGCTTCCCACTAATGCACACCCTGGGAGGCAGCGGATGACGGCCCACGTACTCGGGTCTCTGCTGCCGCCCTCCGTGGGAGATCTGGGTGGAGCTGCAGGCTCTCGCCTCCGTCCTGGCCCAGCTCTGGCTGCTGTGCAGATTTGGAGAATGGACCAGCGGACAGATCGGTCTTCCTCTCTGTGGTCCTATCTTCAAATAAATAAACTTTTTTTTTTTTTTAAGTGCATGGTGAATGGAATTTAAAGTGATGAGTTAAAAAAGAGAAACAGGCAAAATATGTATAGATGGACTTTGGATCTTTTAGTGGGTTAGTCTTTTTTTTTTTTTTAAGGTTTTATATATTTATTTGAAAGGTAGAGTTACAGTGAGAGGGAGAGACAGAGAGGTCTTCCATCCGCTGGTTCACTCCCCAAGCGGCCGCAATGGCCAGAACTGCCCCGATCTGAAGCCAGGAGCTTCTTCCGGGTCTCCCACGTGGGTGCAGGGGCCCAGGCATTGCCGCAGCATCCGCCTGGCTACAACGCTTCGCCCTGTGCATTTTCTCACTTAAACTCCCAACCCTGAGAGTAGGGCCTACCACCTCCCCGTCACTGGCGAGGGGCAGAAAACAGCCCCAAACTCGGGAACATTCTAAGGTAGCCCATAACAAAAACACCAGGCTCGGCCCAAGGGTGGGGCGTCATCGCTGCCAAGCCAAACGCCAGACATCCTGCTGGGCGGGGAACAGGCCAGGTGAGGACAGGCCACTTGTTCGGGGTCATGTGGGCAGCCCATTAAAAACAACAATAAAAGGGCGGACCCCAGAGCCTCCCTGTCCCACACTCACGGCCTCCCCCCACCCCGCCCGGTCACGCGGGTCACACGCACCAGCTTCCGGGCCATCCGAGGGGGCAGGAGGTGGACACGGCCCGGGGCAACGGGGGCGCAGGTGGGGAGCGGGTCCCCTGAGATCGCGAGGCCCTGGAGAGGGGCCAGGCAGGGCGCGGCGGGAGGGCCGAGGGGAGGCTGGGGCACCCGGAGGCAGAGCTGAGGGGGACCTGGGTACAGCGGAGAAGCTGGAGGCGACCGTGGGCCCAGCGGGGGACACGGAGCGGGGGAAGGGCGGTTCAGGAAGTTCGGGAGCCACCGGCGGAGACTGGGGTGCCTGGGGGAACACAGCTCGCCTTGAACACCGGCGGGCACGGGACGGGAGTTGGGGTCGCCGGGGGAGCCAAGAACGGAAGCTGGAGGCACTCTGGGGGCCACACAGGGGTCAACGGAGGCCTCGCCTCAGACCCGCGGACGGCTCCGACGAGGGTCCCGCCGCGGCGTCCCAGACGGAGGCGCTGAGGAGGTTTGGGATGGGCCCCCCAGGCCCCGCCCCCGCAGCGCCGTCACTCACCTCGACTTACTCAGCACTTCTACTTCCTCCTACTTCCGCAAACAAACGCGCCCCGGGCCACGTGACGGCCCGGCCACTGCTCGTCAGCCAATCAGCGGGGCCCGTGCCCCTGGCCTCCGCTGCGGCCCCGCCTCCCGCCGCGGGCCCTGCGCGCGCGGACAGCCGGGGGGCGGGGCTCCGCTGCTGCTATAACTGCCCAATAGAAGGGGCTCTCGGCGCCGACGGGGGCCGGGCTTTCGGCTGGAGCCAATCCTCAGCGGCCCTGAGCGGCCACGTTTGTGCGGGGCGGAAGTTCTACGTGACAGCTCGTTGACGGCCATGTTGATGAAGGGCAAGGAGTTTCACCTGTGTTCGCCCCGCCCCTCCTATAATGGGCTTGGGCGTAGAGTCCGAACCTATGTTAATAACGGCTCATAAAGATAAAAATAAAATCCAAGAAGGCATAAGGCATAACAAGGAGGAGTCTACTTTGATTTTGCCTGGGACCCCCAAGCTAGGGTTGCCACATTTAGCCAATGAAAATACAGGTCGCGTAGGGGTCGTCAAGTTCAGTTTGAATTTCAGCTAACCAACCAATAAATGTTTAGTGTTAATAAGATAAACTAGTAGGCTGGCGCTGTGACGTAGTGGGCTAACCCTCTGCCCGTGCTGCTGGGATCCTATATCTGCACTGGTTCAAGTCCTGGCTGCTCCACTTCTGATCCAGCTCTCTGCTATGACATGGGAAAGCAGTGGAGGATGGCCCAAGTCCTTGGGCCCCTGCCACTCACGTGGGAGACCTGGAAGAAGCTCCTGGATTCTGGCTTCTGATGGCCCAGCTCCAGCCATTGCGGCCTTTTGGGGAGTGAACCAGCAGATGGAAGACCTCTCTCTCTCTCTCTCTACCTCTGCCTCTCTGTAACTCTGCCTTTCACATAAATAAATAAATCTTAAAAAAAAAAAAAGAAAAAAAGGTGGCCGGCGCCACGGCTCACTAGGCTAATTCTCCGCCTTGCGGCGCCGGCACACCGGGTTCTAGTCCCGGTCGGGGCGCCGGATTCTGTCCCGGTTGCCCCTCTTCCAGGCCAGCTCTCTGCTATGGCCAGGGAGTGCAGTGGAGGATGGCCCAAGTGCTTGGGCCCTGCACCCCATGGAAGACCAGGAGAAGCACCTGGCTCCTGGCTTCGGATCAGCGCGATGCCCTGGCCGTAGCATGCCGGCCATGGTGGCCATTGGAGGGTGAACCAACGGTAAAAAGGAAGACCTTTCTCTCTGTCTCTCTCTCTCACTGTCCACTCTGCCTGTCAAAAAAAAAAAAAAAGTCAAAAGGAGGCTGGATCAACTGTTAGATACACTCAAAGATCAGCAGAAGAAATTAATAAAATAGAATCTCGGCCTCTGATGAGGTTAAGTATTCTTTTTCTTTTTTAAAAAATGTATTTATTTCTATGAAAGAGTTACACAGAGAGAGGTAGAGGCAGAGAGAACGGTCTTCCATCCACTGGTTCACTCTCCAGTTGGCCGCAATGACCAGAGCTGTGCCAATCTGAAGCCAAGAGCCAGGAGCTTCTTCCGGGTCTCCCACATGGGTGCAGGGTCTCCCACATTGGGCCATCTTCTACTGCTTTCGCAGGCCACATCAGAGAGCTGGGGCAGAAGTGGAGCAGCTGTTGCCCATATGGGATGCCAGCACTGCAGGTGGTGGCTTTATCCGCTTCGCTTTAGGTATTTCTGCTGGAAACTGTTAAATGAGTGGATAAAGCAAGAGCTGGGGGCATAGAGGTCCCCCCTTATCCATTGTGATACATTCCAAGACCCCCCCCTCCAGGGCATGCCTGAAACTGTAACTGGCACTGAGCTCTCTATACAATGGTTTTCTCTAAACATGTGAATCTATGGTAAAGCTTAGTATATACATTAGCCATAGTAAGAGGTTAACAACTACTAATAAAATAGAACAAACATAACAATATACTACATACTATATAATAAAACCCATTTATGGAGCCGGCATTGTGATACTTTCGGTTAAGCCACTGCCTGCAATGCCTGCATCCCATATGGGTGCTGGTTTGGGTCCTGGCTGCTCCGCTTCCGATCCTGCTCCCTGATAATGAGCCTGAGAAAGCAGCGGAAGATGGCCCTCGTGCTTGGACCCCTAAACTCATGTGGGAGACCCAGAAGAAGCTCCTGGCATCGGATCGGCCCAGCCACAGTTGGTGTGGCCATTTGAGGAGTGAACCAACAGATGGGAGGTCTCTCTCTGTAACTCTGCCTTTCAAATAAATAAATAAATAAATCCTTAAAAAAAAAAAAAAAAAAGGAAGCTGGATCAGATGTGAGTGCGTCAAATGCCTGCCGCTTTTTTTTTTTTTTTTTTTTTGACAGGCAGAGTGGACAGTGAGAGAGAGAGACAGAGAGAAAGGTCTTCCTTTTTGCTGTTGGTTCACCCTCCAATGGCACTGCAGCCGGCGCACCGTGCTGATCCGATGGCAGGAGCCAGGAGCCAGGTGCTTTTCCTGGTCTCCCATGGGGTGCAGGGCCCAAGCACTTGGGCCATCCTCCACTGCACTCCCTGGCCACAGCAGAGAGCTGGCCTGGAAGAGGGGCAACCGGGACAGAATCCGGCGCCCCAACCGGGACTAGAACCCGGTGTGCCGGCGCCGCAAGGTGGAGGATTAGCCTAGTGAGCCGCGGCGCCGGCTCGCTTCTATTTGTCTGAACTGTGGTTGACTGCAGGTCCCTGGGATGGCAGAAGGCAAACGCACAGGTAAGGGGCCGGGAGCTGATGAAGGGGGGTTGCCAGGCAGCAGGGATGAGGGAGGGGCCAGTAAGCGCATTGTTTGCCTGCTGGGCTGGGCCTGGGAGACGCTGGCGGTTCTGGAGGAAGGCCTGCTTTTGAGACGCTGTCTTAGCCCCGCACCTGCAGACATCCCGGAGCAGGGTGTCTGTTCCCACGGTCAGACTAGACCAAGTCTCCTCCCTCGAGCAGGTGGAAATTCCACGCACGCACGCTCCACAGCCAGTGTGCACCTGCTGCCTTCGGGGAGCTCGCCGCCCTCTACCCTGCTGTTCCAGGAAGGGACGCGGTCCCCAGCACTGCAAATCAATGAAGGGGAGAAGGGGGCGCAGGACCTGCCTCCTCCATCCCCCAGGCTGCAGGAGTGCCCACTGCTGGCCTTCCAGTCGGGGAAGACAGTAAACGAGACAGAGCAGTCGGACACATGGGGCTTGCTGAAGTCCTGTGGGACATGGCCATGTCCTGGCATCAGGGCTGTGCGTGTGGGCTGGGGGAGTTTTAAGTGGAGCCGTGGGGAAGTCTTGCCTGGGAAGGGCGATGTCTGGAAAGACAGCATGGAGAACCGGGAGTGTGTCCCGTGGTGCCCCACTGGTTTCAGGACAAGCGAGGGGTATGCGAGCGGGAGCATGGTAGGCAGTGAAGTCAAACGGATATTGGGGGTCAGAGTGGGAGGACGTTAGAGACCAGGTTAAGACTTTCGCTTTCATTCTCAGGGAACTCGGGAGCCATGAGAGGCTTTTGAGCAGTGGAGTGACCTAAGGGGACATTTTAACAGATCACGGCTATTGTTTGAGAACAGACTGTGGAGGCAAGGCAGGGCCCAGGAGCCCAGGGAGGAGGCTGCCACAGGAACCAGGTGGCCACCCTCCCGTGTAATCATCGCAGCGACGGAATTATTACAATCTGGGTTCGCATTCTGACAAAAAATGGGTAGGGGCCGGCACCGTGGCTTACTTGGTTAATCCTCCGCCTGCGGCACCGGCATCCCATGTGGGCACCGGGTTCTAGTCCTGGTTGCTCTTCTTCCAGGCCAGCTCTCTGCTGTGGCCTGGGAAGGCAGTGGAGGATGGCCCAAGTGCTTGGGCCCTGCACCCCATGGGAGACCAGGAGGAAGCACCTGGCTCCTGGCTTCGGATCGGCACAGCGCTGGCCATAGCAGCCATTTGGGGGGGAGTGAACCAACAGAAGGAAGACCTTTCTCTCTGTCTCTCTCTCTCTCACTGTCTAACTCTGCTTGTCAAATAAAAATAAATAAATACAAAAATGATAAAATGGGTAAGCTAGCCTAGGGGTTGAGAGCTCCTGTCCCATAATACAGCACCTGGGGTCCGTAGCTCGCTCCAGCCGCTGACTGCAGTTTCTTGCTACTGCAGGCCCGGGAGGCAGTGTGATGGCTCAGGTAATTGGGTTCCTGATTGGGTTCCTGGGACTGATTCCCAGCTCCTGGGTTTCACCTGGCTTAGCCTTGTGTCTATTGCAGGCATCTGGGGGAGTGAACCAGGAGTTGAGAGCTCTCTGTCTCTGTGCCTTTTATTTATTTGAAAAGCAGAGAGGGAGAGCGAGAGCGATCTTCCGTCTGGATTCAGTCCCCCAAATGACCACAGTAGCCAGGGCTGCGCCAGGCTGATGCGAGGAGCCTGGAGCTCCACCCAGGTCTCCCACGTGGGTGATGTGGACCCAAGCACTTGGCTCATCATCCGCTGCCTTCCAGGGTGTGCACCAGCAAGAAGCTGGAGCAGAACCAGAGGAGCCAGGACTCAAACCAGGCTCTCCAGTATGGATGTGGGCGTCCCAACCGGTAACTGAACCATTGTGCCAAATGTCGCACCCAAGAAACAAATAAATGAAGTTGGTGGGCGTGGGAGTCACTGCTGGAGGCTTTGTGAGCTGACCACCAGTGGACAAGCTGCCCTGCTGGCCGCCTGTCTCTGGCAGGGAAATGGAACCGGAAGACAGGCACACGCTTTGTTCACGTACGCCTGTGTTTT